ACTGTTTCTCAAAATGAAGAAAGTCTCTGGGCTCCTTTTTCTTATTTGTCATGAACATAATTTAGTATTCGATTTTTCTGTAAAATATACTGGACAAAATAAGTTAGGGATATTGGTATTTTTATGATTGATATTTTATCAGTGTGTCAATGAATAAATAGATCATTATTCATAATTTCAAAATTTACATATATCCCTAACTATTTTTGTCCAGTATATGTTCATTTCAGAGACTACATAATAGCCTAGTATCTATGGATATGGAGGAAACATGAAACACCCCAGTATATCCATACACATTTCTAACACTGATATGAGTATTTAAGGATACTGTCTCCATTAAAATATTGGTTATAGTGTGGTTCAGGTAATCATATACATGTATTGAAAAAATCATTTCTGGTGTCCCTGCCATGATGTTGCTGGAATATTGCTAAAAGCGGCGTAAAACCATACCCGTTCACTCCTCATTAAAAAGGTGGTACAGTCTTTGAATCATTCCTGTTTGACTTTGAAATATGTAAACTGCAAAATGTACTAGTGTATTTTAACAGGTTGGTAGTGATCGTTCCAATGTAGAACACACTCTTATTTCCTCTTTGAAAATACTTTATAGTGTTCAGAATATTTTTAGACTCTTCCACCCTGGAGGTCTTCCAATCACTGGAGTCTGTACTGAACAGAGGCTCTGACAGAGCTGCTCATGTCTTTAACCACTGCCTGACGACTATCCTAGGTGTGCGAGTGAAGCACCTTGTAATAAACCTAGACAGAAATAGAGCAGGAGTCACCTGCACAACAGCTGGTAAACTTGACTAATTATCTCCATCTTACCTCCATCTCTTTCACAAATCCCAGTCTGTTGGGTCGTCAGTAAACTAGATTAGCTGATCTACTTGTCAGATAGGTAATCCCAGCCTTACTACTGTATGCCGTGACAATCATTGCCATTCACTGGATTTATAACCCAGGGCGTGAAAACACTCTTACCTTAAGAGGGCTATTGTTTTAATTAAGAGTGATTGCTTTTCAGTGTGTACACACACCTATCCCCCATGTTGGGATAGTGATAGCCCATATTGGTTATCAGGGAGGTTGTTGGTTTAGCTACCAAAACAATGCTTTCTATCTGGTAGGGAGGCTAATTAAGGTCTAGACTAGTGTTTTGATTGCGCCATAGGTATTGCAAGTAGTGATACGGACATGCTGGCCTGATGTCTGGTTCATGTACAGTGGCCGAAAGCAGATGACAGGTGCCTACTTACAAGCAGTAACTGGTCTTCATCAGCACCTATGGCAACTCAGTGATGACGTTACATCCCCTTGTTTAAATTGTCTCTTCCACCTGTTGTGATTCAGTACATAGTAGTGAATCAAATCTTAGCTATTCTGCCAAAGGACTTTGATGATTTGGTACACTTCGATACCTTAGGCATTTTGAAAATGAATTGTTGACTTTATGAGTAAACTATATTTAATTCCTGGCTTGTCCAGCTCTCATGGTCATATATTAAAACAGATACTGTTTAGATTATGTCTTCTCAAAAGAATATTGGGGAGTCTTCTTTGTTTGGTTTCTATGGCAAGTTTGAATGTTCATCAAAAGAATAATAATTTAATACCCACTGTACAAGTCTGTCTGATTACACTTTTTAGTTGGTGAGTATTTATGCCTCATTTAGCAATAGTCCATCAATATCATGGAGTGGGACACCTGAAATGGACTTCATACATTGTACCCATGTGGGGAATGGAACCCAGGTCTTGGGCATGGTGAAGAAATGCTTTAACTACTAGGCTACCTCACCACCTCTGATTACCATTTTGAAGGTGAACACTATATTATTGAGGGTGTAAAGCATGCTTTTGTGAATTGTCATCTTTTGAAGCCATTGATTACAGTTAACTATATAAATCATGCTTTTTGTCTGACTGACTTGACTGGTTCTGAGGGGGCATACAACTCTTGAAGTTCTTTAAGTGTTGGAACATGGCATGGTAAAAGCTTGTGTTTTCTGTACCGTCAAATGAGGCATGTAGCCAGCAAAAACTAACAGGTGAAAATAGCAATTTGACATGCACACCACCCTATATGTAGCAGAACACGAGAGAGGATCCTTGTTTACAGCTTACAGAAAGAGAGCCAAGGTAGATACTGCTTTAATGTTCAATGACAAGCAAAACAATGTGTCATGGGTTGATGGATTAGTTTTGTGAATGCTTCAAGTCTCGAGTCTGACATTGACTGATGTGCTGCTGACCCATGCATTCATACTTGACTAGTCTGCTTTTATGAATAATAAAACAAGGGGTAGATGACATCCTTGTTGTACTCCAGTATGCCAAACAGTATTGATTGGGATAGATCAGGTTGTGTACAAGATTGTTCAAGTTATCCATCATGTAATGCTGTTGTCTGCAGGCCAATGAAAAAAACGAGGTTGATCATAAGCCCAATATAAACATTTGACATTGATATTACTGAGGACTGGTGTTGATAGCTGTAATGAATGAAACAGATATGTGCAAACAACACAACCAGTAAATAACTTCACAGAGCTACCATCCTTCTAATCTCCAACAACAGTCTTCTGAACCTGGATCCTGCAGAGATTTTTATCTAAGATTCCAGATCAAATGCAAGGCAGTTGTGAAAAATGGTAATTTTTGTTCCAAATACATAAATACAAAATTTTTACAATTATACTAGTATTTCAGTTGTGTTTAATTGTATTGTAACATAATATTCATTTCAATAGTTGATCTTCAGTAACCCATGCTTGTCGTAAGAGGCGACTAATGGGATCGGGTGGTCAGGCTCGCTGACTTGGTTGACACATCATCGGTTCCCAATTGCACAGATCGATGTTCATGCTGTTGATCACTGGATTGTCTGGTCCAGACTAGATTATTCACAGACATCCGCCGTATAGCTTGAATATTGCTGATTGCGGCGTAAAATTAAACTCACTCCTTTCAATAGTGTAAAGTTTAACACTAACATATCCTCCATTTTCCTCTACTGACACTTTTATAAATGAAACACAATTCATGAAATTAGTTATACTGACATGAAGTGGGAAATTGTTAAGTCTTTTTTGGTGCCGGCTGGGGACCAAATATCGGTCATGGTGCCAGATAATTTCCTTGACTAGATCTTGGGTTTGTGGGTCCACTGTTATTTCCATGTTTATCTTTTGGGCTCAATGTTTCATGGGCAACACACCATTACACATATTCATTTGGCAAATTTTCTTTTCAAACTTAAAAAGGCAACAGTCAACTTTACCCCATGTGAATCTTTTGTTATGATCGGAATGTGTGAAAAATAATTCATCTCCATTATCCTCCCCTATTTGTCGTGTTCATTGTATGTTTTCATATTGATTGTTTACTTGGTTGAGATGAGACCTGGTTTCTGAGGCTGAAAAACTAAGTAGGACAATGTAACAAGTGGCCTGTGACTGACCTTGAAGACTGAAGCCACCACCTTGCATACTGTCTGCATACCTGCATTGACATTCATGACCTTATACGGAATACACACCACTCGAACACCTCCACTACTGAAGCTACCCTCACTTCACTTAACAGGGCAACGGAGAGAAATATAAAAGAGCTCATGGGCAGTGGTTTTTTGGCAGGCCAGTGTAAAAAAAGTGGAACCTTTTGTTAAAAAATGTTTAGCTCATTTTATTTGTTTCTGACCTTAATTCTGATTTTGGAAATGCTATGATGGTCAATGCAGCTTTTGTCTGTTATATTGATTGTGTTGAAAGGAAAGTATGTGCAGAATGTTGCATGTCAAAGGGTAGCCATGTACAGTATACAGCAGGTTGTTTGCACAGGGTGCAGATATAGTGTTTGATTGTGTATGTTGGAGAGGGGCGGAGGGTAGTCTAGTGGTTAAAGCGTTGGCTCGTCACGCTGAAAACCCGGGTTCGAATCCCCACATGGGTACAATGAGTGAAGCCCATTTCTGGTGTCCCCCGCCGTGATATTGCTGATATATTGCTAAAATCGGCGTAAAACCAAACTCAGTCAGTCAGTATGTTGGAGACATGTATACCTATTGAACTTTGTTTCAACATGACACTTGTTGTTTCCTTGCCTTGTGCTCATCAATAAAACTAGGACTGGTTTGCTCAGTGTCATTGTACAGTCTGTTGAGCATCCACTTTAAAACTGTAATGTGGAATTTGGCTAATATTTAATCCCAGAAATAAAAATACCTAAAAATATGAATCTATGAAGTAAGGAAACATAGCTTCCTTATAGACCGAAAACAATGTCTAATTTCTTAGAGTTGAGGAAATGTAGATTGCACGGTTAGACTGAAGTTGGACTCCTTGTTTAATTTGTTCTCCAGGGTCTGGGAGACTTGCATGGTATCTCTGTAGGCTAGCACTATAAAACAAGTATTGGTCTGGACAACAGGCAGCTATGAACATACACACTCACACTTGCAACTTGTTGCTGTGGAAGTGTAATAATCTTTCAGGTGGTGTAACCCCTTGTTTCACCTCACTGCTATGACTTGACCAAGCAATTGAGCTTCTGAATGGGTCACCCTTGAAGGTCGGGGTTAGAATTGGTATTCAACAACATATGATTGTCTTAAGAGGGGACAGGATCAGGTGGTCAGGCTTGCTGACTTGGCTGACACGTGTCATTGTATCCCGGTTATGTAGATTGATGCTCATGCTGTTGATCACTGGATTGTCTGGTCCAGACTCGATTATTTACAGGCCACCACCATATAGCTTGAATATTGCTTGGTGCAGCGTTAAACAACAAACCTACCAACCAATTGCATAGGTTAATGCTCATGCTCTTGATCACTAGATTGTCTGGTCCAGACTCGATTATTTACAGACCACCACCATATAGATTAAGCAGCAATCAATATGAATGGGTCAGTGTTATTTCTATAGAACAGAAGAAATATCTCCACCATATATTCCACTTGTAATGTTGACTTTTGTTTTCTTGTTTTGCAGGAATCATCTCCTATACTGAGTACCTGTTCCTCTTGTGTGTGCTGACAAGTAAGTAGAGCCTTGTGTCCTGCCTCATTCCATAGTTGTGTACGTGGTTGTCGGATGTCATCAGTGAACATCCCCTTGTACAAACCACAGCACTTCAGTATGTCACAGATACAGGGGGATGTCCATGTTCTTATAATGTCAGGAAAATCAAGTGAGATGCAAGGATTTTCTATGCTTTTTTCAATGTTTGCCCATCCTACTTGATGACTCTATCCTGAAACCACATGGTCAGGGACCAACACTAGGCACTGCTCATAGAAAATATGGCTTTGACAGAGGCCAAGATAGGGTCAGTTGATTTTAATGGACAAAATGCATGCAGTTTAACTATAAAGTCTCCAGTCCATGACACTTGTATAGGACTGGTAGGAGGTTTATCTGTGGTAGGATGGGGTTAGGACTCTGACTGATAGTTGATTGATGATACAATCCCAATCAAAGGTAGGTTTGATCAAGCATGTCTCAGATCAGTGGTAGGACTTGGTTTGATCAAGCATGTCTCAGATCAGTGGTAGGACTTGTTTGAGGACTTGAGCGGTTTGATCAAGCATGTCTCAGATCAGTGGTAGGACTTCGGTTTGATCAAGCATGTCTCAAGATCAGTTGGACTTCGGTTGGTAGGACTCGGTTTGATCAAGCATGTCTCAGATCAGTGGTAGGACTTGGTTTGATCAAGCATGTCTCAGATCAGTGGTAGGACTCGGTTTGATCAAGCATGTCTCAGATCAGTGGTAGGATTCAGTTTGATCAGCTACTTTTCAGACTGATGGTAGTTTCTCAGTGTAGTTTATCAGATCAATGGTGAGACTCAAATTGATTGAAAGTGGAGTAGAGTATTTTCCAGATCCAATTTATGGTCGACCTTTGCTATCACTTGTACATCTACCCCTTTAATTATGAAGTAACTTCTAGAGACAAATGACCTGACTCAAAGCAGCTTAACTTAAGATAGCAAAGTGTGCCCAAGGGCTCAGATAATGACTACATGGTGAAACAAGAACGAACCACAACTTGACCTGGGTAGCACTCAATTATGACATGTGGGAATCCTTACGTTGACTTGATCCTCGATACCCTCTCTCTGGGTGAGGCCACTAAAGGTTGGTTGGTTGGTTTAACGACGCATTCAGCAATATTCAAGCTATTCCAGCTTGTAAATAATCAAGTATGGACTAGACCATCTAGTGATCAACACCATTAGCATCGATCTACACCATTGGGATACGATGGCATGTGTCAACCAAGTCAGCAGCCTCAAAAGGGTATTAGTTGGTCACAATTGGGGAAGAGTATGGACAGGGCATGTGTTAGCCTAGAAAAATCAGGTTTCAGGTGTGACTGACCTTGAGTCATCACACTATTAACCACTGGCTGCCTATTCCACTGACTGACTGACTGAGTTTGGTTTTACGCCGCTTTTAGCAATATTCCAGCAACATCACGGCTGGGGACACCAGAAATGGGCTTCACACATTGTACCCATGTGGGGATTCGAACCCGGGTCTTCGGCGTGACGAGCCAACGCTTATTCCAAGTTATATTCTACAATATACAGGTTATTCTGATTTAGCTTTTTCAATGCATGACAAAGTAACCTTTGTGGTTAGAAGAGGTCCCCAGAATCCTATGCAAGACGCGGATAGCTGCAAAATCACTGATGCTACTTAAAGCAACATTTACTCACTCAGTATCCTATGCTTCATTCAAGGGCCTGGTGCTCCTTTAACGAAGCAACCTTACTAAGGTTAACCTTAACTCCCATTCTTTAACATTGCACTAAGGTTACCTTAGTGACTTATGATCATAGTGCTGCATGAAAAGGCCCTGGTCCCGATTTCTCGAAACAAACTGAAGTTTTTACACAAATATCAAACTGAGTTTGACAATTTAGAACAGCTGAATTTTTAGTTCAAGGTCATTTTAAAATAAAAAAAGCCTAAACAACTTAAGTAATTGTCTACTAAGTGTCAATTTGATATTGATTTCAGTTCATTCTGGGAACTGCATTTTCCTGCGTTTTCTCATATTTGAGTCAAAACTCTAACTTAAGTTTATTTTGAGAAATCAGGTCCAGGAGGTTTGAATGTGACATAACTGATAGCTTAGGGGTGGTTGAGTAGCCTAGCGTTTAAAGTGTTCGCTTCTCACACCTCACATGGATACTTGTGAAGCCCATTGTGATGGCACCCATTGTGATATTGCTAGAATATTACTAACAGTGGTGTAAAACAATACCTGTAGTGTGCCCTCCATTTGGCCTTGATCCTGGTGACTTTTTGTACAGAGCTACATGTGTTCATTGTGTGGGTGGGTAGACTTATTTGGCCTATATTGCCTTAGAGTGCAATCTCTTGAAAACAGAGGGTCCTAATTGGACCAAATTAGCAACAGTGTTCATGTTCTTCCAACAGAGAGACTGACCTCTTGTGATAACCTCCAATTAAAAAAGATGCCCTGTGCTCTCCCAAAGCAGAATCAGCATCTTTGGAAAGATTTCTTGAACAGGTCTATGATGGTGGTGAATACATTTCTAAGTAGAATAAATTGACTGTCAGCAATTAGATGTATATTTAACGTCTGTCTCGTGGAGTGATTGAATTATTAAAGTGTCAGAGTGAGATAATGATCTTCAAAATGTGATAAACGGTCTCGGTACTGAATCCTTTGGTAGATGCCGTGTAAAGAAAATGTCAAAAATAGCGATAAAGTCACTGTCTTGCCAAGATGCAGCATCAATCAAATGCAGAAAGTGATAAAGTTTTAAAGCATGGAGAAGAAATCAATTTGCCTCTTGTTTAGATGCTGCCGAGGGACAGGAATGCCATATCAGACATCTGTCAATTCCAGGCCATTATCCCTGACAGAGGAACCAGGAGCATCCACTGTCTCTTTAACCAGCCTCTAACCCTTAACCACAAGTGGGTAATGGCCTTTGACAGGACTGCACCAACGAGACATGAAGCAACATAGCTTTGTAATCTAGTGGAAAAAAGCAGTCACAATCCTGAGATTGTCGGATGAGATAGCACATGCAGTCTAATCTCTTCTTTACAATCTGAAGCCTCACCACATAGGTAGCAATACGTGATACGGCTCTCTATAGGGCTTACCTTACACCCCAGATGACATAAATCTCTCATCTTTGTGCGTGATGTAAAAAACGGGGACCCCTCCCTCCCCTCGTGCAGGAGTGGTGATCACAAGCCCCATCATTAGAGCCTTGTTGGCATCCCACTGGTGAGGGCAAATTCACTCTTGCCTCGGATTGCAAATTCACCTTTGCCTGGGGGTGCCTATATCACACTTAATGCATTAGAGGCAGGCAGTCTGAGCGATATTTAACACGATGGGATCTCGTCATCTTGTGTTCAAGTGTATCACATGACTTGGCTAAACAGTGACAAATCTGGATGTCACAGATGCTGAAAGAGACACACAAGGCGAGCAGAGAGGGGCCTCCAACGCCATGCCCTGTCTCAACCCTGCTTGAAAACCACAAGGTGGATGTGAACGGTGTGTGCACTCAGATGTCAGACCTAAGAACAGTTTAACTTAATAATGCCCTCAAGTATGTTGTGCTGGCACTGCCGTTGTTGTACAAAGGAGAATATATAGCCTATCTCAGCAATGTGTATCAGTATGCATTGTGAAGATTAAAACACACCTGTCCTCATCCATGTTTGATATACTGACAAGTGGAAGTTTGGGATGAGGACCCTTATGTTTTTAACTAACAACTTTTTGGAAGGGATGTTTTCAACCAAAAAGCGAGAGTGAGTTGTAAAAAGATACTTTCATTTTGTGTTGAAAAAGAATAACGTTGTTATTTGTCATTGTTGTTTATCTTAATAGAAATCTTTACCTAAACTTAACTCTCTGTGGAAACTTGTAACAATCTCTTTGAATTTTAGAAATTTAAAGTACATTCCTGCATAGATGGTAGAAAGTGCAAGATTTGTACAAGTCTCAGTTTGTAAAGGCTTAAATAATTTGCTAATTTGTTTTACAACACTTCACCATACCCCCTAATCTTCTCCATTTTGGAGAATGAAGTCTTGGCGTTTACACAGCCATGAGTCTAATACTCGTCAACCCCGAGCTAGGTGTGAACAAATTGAGAGCTTCCCTCGTATTTATGGGATCACGAAAGTGGGTAATGCGTTCACTTTCACTTCATTGTGTAATCTGCTTAACAACATGGAGTCAATGAGCAGGCCTGAGTTAAGAGACCCACATTCACAGTGCAACAATCAAGTAACGACTTCGCTACCAGCTTCAGGTGTCGCGGGATGACAGCAGGCGTTCAACTGTGATAAGGGACCAGGCAGGAGAAGAGAGGGGATGGGGAAGACACAGTTCTCAAAGGGCCACCTTACACGCTCAATATTTCAACAACCTGCCCTTTGTAACCGACACACTTTGGAGACCCCCTCATGTTCTAATCACTCACAAGGCTGTCCAAATGCCTTGTAATTTGTCCTCATAATTAAAGAGACTGGGTAATAATACAGCTCGGGCTGACTGCCATGTCTGCGAGGACCGTAGCGGGTGGGGTACCACCACCTGCAACAGACATAGACCTACCCCACACAGCCAACACCAGGTTGTCTGAACAGAAAGCTTCAGCCTACCCTACAGACAGACCACACCAGGTTGTCTGGACAGAAGGCCTCGGCCTACCCTACAGACAGACCATACCAGGTTGCCTGGACAGAAGGTCTTAGCCTACCCTACAGACAGACCACACCAGGTTGTCTGGACAGAAGGTCTTAGCCTACCCTACAGACAGACCACACCAGGTTGTCTGGACAGACAGCCACGGCAAAATCTCTGTGCCATTTTTCTAAAAAAAATCCCAATATTTAAGTTTGTTTTCATGATGAGAAAAATGCATTAATTACCCTACAGACAGACCAAGGCCTAAAAGCCTACCCTCCCTTGTGACCAAAACAATTGGAACAGTCAGTTTCTAAAAAAAAAATCCCTATTGTCTGTCTTCC